AATGAATATAAACTATGTTACTTATTTTCTACAGGAACAGTGCAATAATTATTATACAACCGTGAAGCTGTCGTTCAGCAATTGCAAATTCCCAGACAGCAGACTCAAGCCAAATTGGCTAGATAGCAAGCTGTCAATCAGAGAATTAACACTGGACAGCTGTTCCCTAAGTGAAATCGAAGATAATGCATTTACCTCCGACACATTCGTGGACACGTCAACAATCATATTAACAAACAACTACCTCATCTCCCTACGTAAGAAAATGTTCCACAATCTGAAAGCATTGGAACGTCTGACAATCAAACAGAAAACTGCCATCAAGTCTGCTGAATTAAATTCATTGCAAGAAGTGTCTGACACTTTAACGTCTCTTCAATTAGAAGAAGGAGTGATCAACGATAATAAAGTTCTCCAGAATATAACAGGCTCTGATACCTTACCAAATCTAGTAGAATTATCAATAAGGTACAACAGCATTCCTGAGGTCAATGCTGAACTATTTCAAGGATTACCAGCAGTGAAATCGGTTTATATAGACAATTCTAAGGTGGAGACGGTGTCAATTGACACCCTGAAACCATTCATACACATAACACAATTTATCTTGGATAATAATAATATTAATTCCTTACCAGAAGGATTGACAGACCCTGTGCTTGGCTCCAGTAAGTTCAGCCTGTCCATACATGACAACCCATGGCACTGTGACTGTAGTTTAAAATGGATCCAAGATATTATTATCTCTCGTTCAATAAAAATCCCTCAGATTCCATTTTGCAAGACTCCTCAAGAAAATAAGGACAAAACATTCCTAATAGCAGATTTTTGTTCTCAATCAAATTCAACTACGACTACTAGACGTAGGGAACAAAGTACAGTACGTACAACTACTGAAACTACTACTCCTCAAGAAATTACAGTGAACTGTGCAAATACAAAAAGAATGATTAATCATCATTCAAGAGAACCGATGTCCAATACTCTACAAGTTCGTTCACCGTTCCCAGATTTTTACATAAAGAACATCTCGGAAACAATGATAACCTTGAATTTGCCTAACATATCTGGGACGTTGATCTGGTTCAGCAATGACACTAGGGATTCGCCTGGCTGCGAGAAAATCGTGAAGACTTCTCATGTGCTGCACAATATGCAGTCTAAGAAAGCGTACACAATTTGTCTACTTGGTGAAGACAAGACCAGCATCTCTCCTTTGAATTGTCTACCCGCGTTCGCGGCTAATAATCTTGATGACGAATCTGAAAACAAGCCATGGATGAGGGCGAGTGATAAGCTTCTGGTGTACATGTTCTTCACCATGAGCTGCGTTTTGACGTTCATCATGGGGTGTTTGATGACGTTCCTGATGGTGCGGAGGCACCCAACGCTGCTCAGTGGCAGCGAACGAGTAATGATGGTGAAACATAGGGAGGTGAAGGCAATTGTGTTACCAAAAGGCGTCAACGTCAGTGACAATAAGCAGAAATTGGATTGCGACAGGTTTTACAATAAATCGGAGGATGGATACGTCACACCTTTGCCGCCTGTAGATGAGACGCTACCGAGGAGGGTCAGAAGGGTCAGCCTGCAGAGTGATAAGAATAGCTATGTGTCTCAGGTCGAGGCTACTGGGTCCCAGTTGAATTCATGGAGGGTGATGATGGAGAGGCAGATGTTCGAATCTCCGCCGACACCTCCGTCGACGGACACCATCCCGTCGCTTTCGTTGTCAGTTGATACGGAAAATGTTTATCAAGATACGAATTGAGGGACATTGTGTTGAATGTAATTGTCATGTCAATTTGAATCAGTTAAATTTGTATACCAAATAAAAGTGTTATTATTCTTATTGTTGTTGTTGTTGTTGTTGTTGTTGTTGTTATTGTCGTTGCTGTTGCTGTTGTTGTTATTGTTGCTGTTGTTACTGCTGTTGTTGTCGCTGCTGTTGTTGTTACTGTTGTCGTTGTTGTAGTTGTTGCTATTGTTGTTCCTGTTTCTGTTGTTGCAGTTATCGTTGTTGTAGTTGCTGTTATTGTTGTTACTATTGCTGCTGTCGTTGCTGTTGTTGTTATTGTTGTCGTTGTTACTGCTGTTGTTGTTACTGTTGTCGTTGTTGTAGTTGTTGCTATTGTTGTTCCTGTTTCTGTTGTTGCAGTTATCGTTGTTGTAGTTGCTGTTATTGTTGTTACTATTGCTGCTGTCGTTGCTGTTGTTGTTATTGTTGTCGTTGTTACTGCTGTTGTTGTTACTGTTGTCGTTGTTGTAGTTGTTGCTATTGTTGTTCCTGTTTCTGTTGTTGCAGTTATCGTTGTTGTAGTTGCTGTTATTGTTGTTACTATTGCTGCTGTCGTTGCTGTTGTTGTTATTGTTGTCGTTGTTACTGCTGTTGTTGTTACTGTTGTCGTTGTTGTAGTTGTTGCTATTGTTGTTCCTGTTTCTGTTGTTGCAGTTATCGTTGTTGTAGTTGCTGTTATTGTTGTTACTATTGCTGCTGTCGTTGCTGTTGTTGTTATTGTTGTCGTTGTTACTGCTGTTGTTGTTACTGTTGTCGTTGTTGTAGTTGTTGCTATTGTTGTTCCTGTTTCTGTTGTTGCAGTTATCGTTGTTGTAGTTGCTGTTATTGTTGTTACTATTGCTGCTGTCGTTGCTGTTGTTGTTATTGTTGTCGTTGTTACTGCTGTTGTTGTTACTGTTGTCGTTGTTGTAGTTGTTGCTATTGTTGTTCCTGTTTCTGTTGTTGCAGTTATCGTTGTTGTAGTTGCTGTTATTGTTGTTACTATTGCTGCTGTCGTTGCTGTTGTTGTTATTGTTGTCGTTGTTACTGCTGTTGTTGTTACTGTTGTCGTTGTTGTAGTTGTTGCTATTGTTGTTCCTGTTTCTGTTGTTGCAGTTATCGTTGTTGTAGTTGCTGTTATTGTTGTTACTATTGCTGCTGTCGTTGCTGTTGTTGTTATTGTTGTCGTTGTTACTGCTGTTGTTGTTACTGTTGTCGTTGTTGTAGTTGTTGCTATTGTTGTTCCTGTTTCTGTTGTTGCAGTTATCGTTGTTGTAGTTGCTGTTATTGTTGTTACTATTGCTGCTGTNTTAATAATAAATGATCTCAGTTGTGCATAAAAATCTGTAGTCCACTGATGGCAGAGCCAGGCATGAAGTTGACAACTAGAATCCATAACATTTTTTGATTAAATAAAAAACCAAACTATGAGTGGATAAAAATCAGTGAGAAAATCAGTCGAATCATCCACGTTCTCTTTTTTATTTATTATAGAGGAAAGATTGAAGTTGCGGAAAACGTTCGAATCCGAAGCCATGGCTGAGTAACCCTCGGTCATCGGATAGAAATAAATTTCAGCCGATTGTGAGTCCAAAAGCGAGCCGTCAGAAATACTTTCTCGGCTATACCTCAGGCATCACCTGCGAACCTTTAACTTCATGCATTGCCAACAGTGCCATACATCTCCCGGCTTCGAAACGCTGGCCCCACGTGTGTTTAGAACCAACCGGGGTGCGTCTTGCGTGATTCGCGAGGGACGGCCGCCGTGCCAAGCTGATAATTTAGCCTGTCATGACCTCCATGAATTCTGCAAATGCGAATCGGATCCGATATTTCCGTGTTCTAGCTCCTCTTGTACGGTGACGTGATTCATTGAAACCGTCACGTATTTACGCATGAATTTGTTAGGTTCTCAGTAAACAATTATATATAATTCTATGTAAAAAAAATGTTTCTATATATTAATAATACGTACCCTCGAAATCTACAGTGCCTGAGCCATCAGCGTCCACTTCATCGATGATCATGTCCAGCTCTTCAGGGGACAGTGCGTCGTCCAGTTCATGAAGAATGTCTCTGAACACGTCGGTGGTGATATACCCGTTTCCCTCCCTGTCGTATAAACGAAAAGCTTCACGTAGTTCTTGTTGCATCGCTTCTGTGTCCGTGTCCTCCTCCATAAATCTCGAGCTCAGGGAACAGAAGTCTTGGAAGCTGATCTCTCCAGATTCTGAAACCCAATCACGTTAAAAACGTTATTATATATATAAATATGTATATGTATATAATTTTCCATCGATAATTATTGTATCAATAAAGAGAGAAAAATTATAATTATTAA